CCCTCAGGCCACACTGCCGGACCTGAGCCCAGCTCTCCTGGGGTCCCTCAGGCCACACTCCATTGCACTGCCCCAGAGGCCTGGGAAGGGCTTTACCCCTGAACTAGGTCATTCTCTTCCTCAGCCTCGCCCAGCTCAGCAGAGGCCTGAAGGACTTGGGGTGGAGCAGAGCAGAGGGTTACAAACTGGCTGGGCTGAAGTGACCGTCTGCCATTTTAACTTGTGACCACTGACAAGTCTGGTCCTTGATTTTTTATTTCATCTAGGGGTGATTCCAGTAACTTAGGGTACTTGTCAGGATTAAACGAGCTGCTTTTTACGTAGTATTTATCCTGTGCTGAGTGCTCAATAAATGCTAGCTGTTAATAAGGTTGGGCCCTCTCTACGACTTTCTGGCCTGGTTCTGGGTTTTCAGCTTCTCACGTAGAGGACTCGAACTTGGTGCCCACCTGATCTGGAAGTAAAGGTGGGAGCTCAGTGCTGGCCTGGTGGTAGGTCAGCAGTCACTGAAGCCAGGCCAGATCGGGGCACCAGGAAGCGAGTCCTCCACTGCTGAGACTCCAGCTTCACCCCAGAAGCCTAGGACTGGGGTGGGGACTAGGAAATCCTGACTCACTGAACCAGCATTAATACCATTCCAGGGGGGGAGAGAGGGGCACCCCTGCACCCCCAAACCTGCCTGCTCTAAATAGGTCCTGCCATCTGCCACATCAAGACAAAACATATAAGACTTTAATGAAAAGGAACTTTACTGCAGTGAGGATACAACACAGAAGACAAAAACTATAATTTCTAAATCAAACACCCAAAGTTACCAGTGTCCTTGTGGGCAAAAGTCCACCCAAAAGGGATCGGCCAAAAAAAGGCCTGAAAGCTGCCACAAGACGAAAGCACCTTCTGGCCGGGACCCATAGAAAAGGGTCAGAAATGGCCAGACAAGTCTGGGAGGAAAAGAGCAAAATCAAAATCAAGATAAACACTGCCATAGTCACCTCCCCACAGGTTTCTCGTCCACATCTGTTTCACCCAGTCCAGGGCCAAGAAACAAGCCTGGTTTCTTCATCACATGCTCCCTGCTCCATGTGGCTTCCTCAGGTCTCCTTCTGGCTCTCCATCCTGCTTCCTCCCTCCTCACATTCCTTCTCTTCTCTCCTTTACTCTGCTCAGGGTGGGGCAGGGAACCTGGAACTCCCCCTTTTCCTAGGGGCCCCCTGTCACACCACCACCTTTCATTGCCCATCCTTTGACCCCAGACAAGGCTGACACAGGCTTTACATGCACAGGAAGGCCAGAGGCGACAGCCACCGCCTGCAGCTTGAGGAGCTAGGAGCGCCTTTCTGTACCCCCCACTCTTCTCTTGCCTGTTAGGGACGAAGCAGGTGGAAGGAGACTAGGACTGGTCAGGAAGGTCCCTCGCCACTAAGCTGATGCTGATGGCACTGCCTCTTCTGAGCACACTCAGTTCCCAGCTGCTGTGCAGAGGGCTGCATCTGAATTATTATTTTTTTTTTAAAGTTTATTTTTACATCATTTTGCACATTTTTTTTTCATCTCCATTGTAATCCCCACGGGTTTCCCATCACCAAATCGCCCCTGTGCCACCACCATAGTCCCGTGCATTTCCCTCCCTCCCACCCCCCGTTTTTGATCCCATTCCCCACTCCACTCCCACAGAATGTCTCTGGTCTATGGTTGTTCATTATTTTTGTTATTTTCTCGCCTGGTCCATTATACTCCTGCTATGAGTGAAACCATCCGGTATTTTTCTTTCTCTTTCTGGCTTATCTCACTAAGCATGATCTTTTCCAGCTCCATCCAAGTTGCTGCAAAAGACATGTGTTTCTCTTTTTTGGTTGCTGAGTAATATTCCATTGTATATATGTACCACATCTTTCTAATCCAGTCATCTACTTTTGGGCATTTGGGCTGCTTCCATGTTTTTCCAATTGTAAATAAAGCAGCAATAAACATGGGGGTACAAGTATCTTTTTCAATCAGTGTTTTTGTGTCTTTTGGGTAGATAGGAGTGGGATTGCTGGGTCATAGGGAAGCTCCATGTTTAGCAGTTTGAGGAACCTCCAAACAGTTTTCCATAGTGGTTGTACTAGTTTGCATTCCCACCAGCAATGCAGGAGAGTTCCTTTTTCTCCACATCCTCGCCAACATTGCATCTGAATTATTTTATCTCACAATAATCCTGTGAGGCAGGATTGTCTGGATGTGGAAACTGGGGCTCAGAGAAGTGAGGTTGCTGCCCACTCATCTAGCAAGGGTGGATCAGATGACCTGGTTCCAGGCTTCCCTGAGCTCTGCTATTGGCATTTGTGCCCAAAAAGGGCAGGCATGTGCCCACCACCCAGGCATGAGCCACTCTGCCCTCTGTTCCTTTAGCACACGTGATTTCAGGGTCCATTCTTCCCAGAGCTCCCCAAGAGGTAGCTCTGCCTCAAGAAAGAAGGAGGGTCCGGGCATGGTGAAGGGGTAAAGATAAAAGGCCGGTGCTGCTCTAGGTTTCCACGGCAACAGCCTCCCTCATTTCTCTGCTGCTGAGAAAGCTGGAGAGGATGGCAAGATGGGGGTGAGTCTCCCTTCTCTTGTCTCCTTTCTCGTCCCCCCTTCTTGAGGAGTAGCCATATTGAGGGGAAAGTGCATACCGACCCAACCCTGCTGGGTAGATTTCACCCCACCCCATGCTTAGAAGCTGGGGCCAGGAAATAGGGATCCTCCCAGGCAGAACAGCAGCCTGGGACAGACCTCCCCAAATCCCAAAAGCCGTGAATGCCCCCAAAGGACCTTATGTTTGTTCAGATTCTGTCTGGGATCAGGCAAGAATAGATACTCAACACATTCGCATTAAAGAAGGGTCCTCCCCTGGTGGCAGATGGGTTAAGTCTCATTACTGTCAAGCTATCCACAACGTGAGTTTGATCCCCGGCCAGGGACCCATATGGCGTGGCAGACCTCTCCTGACCCACCCGCTGCTCCCATCAGCAGTGTCCTTCGTCAGTCTGCCTGTTCTGCTCCCCACTCTGTCCCTGGTGAATCCTCTCACCCTCAGCACCTCTGGCCTGTACCCCAGTTCTTGTATGCATAAATAAATAAAATAAATCTTTAAAAAATCTCATTGAAGGAACAAATGGGCAGATGAAAGAACAAACAGGTGTTTCAGCCTCTGCTAATACCAGGACTGTTCTCGCTCTCCTTCCCAGTCCCTTGTCCAGTCTCCCCTGCCCGTGCTCCCCGCCCGCCCCTCGCAGAAGTCTGCCCACTCAAGGGGGGCACGCACCCATGCCTGGACTGATGGAGGGCTCAGGGGTGTGTGCCTGCCTACTTGCCTGTCTCCCAGTCGGGGGCCTCATGACCCAGAGCCTGCTAGACCCAGAGCCTGACTTACTGTGGGTCCTCAGCCCTTCTCTGGGCAAGGAAGGAAGGGAGAAGAGAGAGGAACTTTGGGAATGCAAGATGGGGAACGGGAAAGAGCAGCATCCAGGACTCAGACCTCCACGGAGCAGAGGGAAACCTGGGCTCCTCACAGCCGGACAGGCCTGCCCGCACCATGCGTGGTGATAACTCGCAGCAGCCCCAAGTGTTTTTCACATGCTTGGCCTGGTCCTGCCCTGGGAAGCCTGGAGTGAGAGGCTCTGAGCTCTTCCCTCTTATTAAAGAGAGAGCTGGAATAACTACACACCCACATACCAAAACACGAGCTCCCTTCCCAGACACAAGGCTTAACTCAAACACAGGCTTCCATGCAAGAGCTAAAACTGTAAGGTTTTTTTTAAAGATGTATTTATTTGTGCATACCTAACTGAGGTACAGACCAGAGGAGCAGAGGCGGTGAGAGGACTCCCCAGAGACAGAGCGGGGAGCAGAACAGGCAGATCGAGGAAGTACATTGCTGAGGGGAGCAGCGGGCAGGTCAGGAGAGGTCTGCCGCGCCATGTGGGTCACGACCCTGGGGGGGGATTGAACTGGCACTGAAGCAGCCGCAGCCAGCTTGCAGTGCTGCGCCAGCATGAAGGGCCTGTAAAGACCTTCTAAGCCCTTGGGTCAGGCAGAAACTTCTTAGATGCCAGACGGAAAGCACGGTCCGTAAAAGAAAATCGCCTAGACTGGACTTGTCAAACGTCCAAACTTTGGTGCATCAGTTGACACCATAAAACAGAGAGAAAGACAAGAACAGCCTGAAGGTATTTGCCAGACTGCCTGTGGTAATGAGGAGCAACCTGGGTATAAAGACGGGCAAGGGTATAAACCCTGGGGGCGAGCCTCACTGGACCCCTGGTTCAGGTAGAAGTGGGGACCCCTCAGCAGGCTCACCACCCTACCGCCGCCAGCTTCCTCAGCACTGGCTCCCTCCAGTGGCCAGCAGCGGAACCGCAGTCCCCCGCTGGGCCTGTCCCCGGCTCTATCCTCCACCAGACCCCAGAAATGCTCTTGCAGCTGCTCTGAGTCTGGCAAGACACTTCCTTATAAAACGTGCCATGTTCCATGTAACTTCCTGTGTGTTTACACTCGGGCAAACATGCCTTTGTACATTCACCAGCCAATAAAACCGGGCAGCCTGGGCAAAAGAGGCCACAGAATTTAGGGGAACTCGAAAGATAAGCAAGAGGCTCCCTATGCTTGTGAGATGCCAATGAGGTGCATCTCCTTCCTTTTCCCAGGACTAAGTTCATCATGCTCTTTATTCTGATTTTGTAAGTTAGCACCAGGAGCCTCAGATTCCAGGCCACGCCCATCTCCTGCCCTGAAGTCCCTTATTCCTTTCTGTGTATCTCTCCCAACTCCTGAAGCCACTGGTAGCCCACAAAGCTCTCCCAGGAGGTCTGAGGCACTCTTCCTCACAGGCCCTGGTTGGGGAGGCTGCTGTTCCCCAGAAGAGGCCTGTAGCCCTCTCTGGGCTTCTTTTCTGCCTCGGCCTCCTACAGGCTGGCACCGGGCATGGGATCTGATGTGCAAGCCCTTCCTTCTGACCTGGAGACCCATCTATTTGCCAGGGAGCTCCCAGGATGGCTGTCCAGCCGGGCGACATGAATGTGGTGGAAAAAACACATAACATATCGATGGACGAGTGTTTCCAGTCTCAAAGCACCGTCCTGAAGGGGCAGCCCTTTGGAGGTGTCCCTACAGTGCTGTTCATCAATGTTTTCTTGTGGCTGGTGAGTCCAGGGCTCTGCGGTGGGCAGGGAGGTCTGTGCCAGGGCAGACAGCCCAGCTTCCCCAGGCGATGCCGCGAGGGCCCCAGCCGTCCACACGGACGCTGGAGGGGCCTGTGCGAATGTCAACCCTGCCCCCAGGGGCCCCAGTGGGTGGGCCTCAGGGGAGAGGGGCAGGAGGAGCAGGAAGAAACCCCCAGATTCTCTTCCACACGCCATTGCCCCAATGCCACCTGGCTATGTGGGATGCCATTCCCTAGCTGTCCCTCGAGGAGTCCCTTGTCTGACAGCCCAGCAAAATGTGAGCACTCACCCACCGTAAGCCAAGATGCTGCTGCACTGGGAAAACAAAAAGTCACAGCCCCTCCCCCTAACTGGGGAGCCCCTAAGAGCCCCGGGGACAGGGACTCCCCGTGGGAACACACGGGCGGCCGGGGGAAGGCTTCCACTCTCTCGCCCGATTCGCCTGCAGCTCCTCATTGTGATTTACTCCTTCCTCCGGAAAGCCGCGTGGGACTACGGGCGCCTGGCTCTGCTGATGCACAATGACAGGTGAGGGCTGAGTTGCCGCTTGCTCCCTGGAGTGCTGCCCTGGCGGGCGGCCACCTCACCTGCCCTGCCCCCGCCTAGCCCACCTGACAGAGGCGACTTTGAGGGCAGCCACGGCTGGCACCAGGCCACTTTTTCCTCGGATCTCAGGCATTCTGGGCCCTGTGACTCCCAAGATGTGCGGGCACCCAGGAAGGGGATTGCTCTCTAGGCACACAGCTGTGTGCTCACACGAGAGGGGATGCGTGTCCGCCACTGGCAGGACCCTCTGCTGCCCTCAGCCCGGGAGCATTACAGAGACCCAGGCGCCTTTTCCTCCTCCCCCACCCCCTTCTGCCTTTCCTGGCTGCAGCATGACCTCGCTGGTCTATGGGGAGCACAGTGAGAAGACTTCGCCCTCCGATATCTCCTTGGAGATAGAAGACAAGGACAAGGTGAGCGCTGGTGGGGGAGGAGAGGGGAGGGGCGGGGGCCTCGCGGGGGCAGCAGGCTGGTGTGTCCAGGAAGGACGAGGGCACCACTTCTAGCAAGGAGGCAAACTCGGGCACATTCCTCAGCCTCCCCAGACCTCAGTTTCCTCATCAGGCTGATGGCGTCATTAACCGTAGCTACCTTCTAGGATGCCGAGTTAAGTGTTCACTAATTCTAATACTTTGAAGAGATTTTTTTTTGAAGAGATTTTTTAAAGGTGGTTTTTCTAGTTCTCTCAAATGTCCAACCCTTCTTATAGCCCCAGTCCTGCCCCAAGCCCCGGCTCTATCCAAGGACTCAACTCCCCACTTCGCAGAGGAGATTCCAGACATCAGGCAGGGGTTACCTCAACCTCCTGCCACCCAGCCCCACCCCAGGGAGAGTGGTCTTCCCCTCCCCTGCCCTCTGCTCAGATGCCACCTTCCACCTAAGCTGCTTCACTCACTCGGCTCATAGTGGGGCACGGCTGTGTGCCAGCTGCTGGCCTGGGCACTGGACGTGAGCAAAACAGAACAAGTCCTGCTTCAAGGCACTGTCTTCCCGGGTGAAAGACTCACAGAGCTGCCTGTAGGGTGGTGGTAAGTGCAGGAAGGAAGAGGGGGCAAGGAGGCTCCCAACAATCACAGGAACAGCCCAAGTGTACACGGCGCTGGATAAGGGTGCCATGACCTCAAGCAGGCACCTGAGTGCAGGAAAGGGGGGGAGGGAGGCCCCCAACCTGCCTGGCCCCCTCACCATCACAGAGACGCTCCTGAAGGGCTTTGTGCTAGTATCTCTATTTCTTACCTCCCCTCTCCCACCCCTCAAACACGGCACCACCTCATCATTCCTCCAGACAGCCCCCAAGGTCATCAACAATCCCATGCCATGAAATTCCATGGACTTTGCCCAGTTCTCATCTCATCCTTCAGAAACACCTGCCACCGGCCTTCTTTCATCCTAAACAGGCACTCCAGCTGCTTGCGTGAAATTTAGCTCTGGGTTTTCCTTTTCCTCTCTGTTCCTCCCCTGCCCCCTTTGCAAGTTACCCCCACCCACACCCCCCACACACACCCAGGGTCCCCATAGCCGATCCCAGGCCCTCCCCACCTCGCTCTCTGCTCTCCCTCAATGAATCACCCACACTCATTGCTCTGCCTCCACATTTAGGGTTCCGGGCCCACTTCTGCTTCTCCACACAACCAGCAACCCTCAGACACCAGCAGTCAGAGAATGCAGTTCACTTCCAACACTGCCTACCTGGAGGTAGCGTCAGGTTCCGCAGGTGGCGGGCTCAGACTCCCTCCAGACACCAGCCAGATGCCCAGGCCTTTCCCTGCACTCTGGCACTGCCTGCCGCTCAGAGGCGCCCACAATGCTCCACAGGTGTGATTCACTCACTGGAGCGGCTCACAGGAATCCCCTTAACTCCTTCAGATCACGATTTATTATGAGAACAGCCAGCTGCAGGAGATGCAGAGGGCCTGGTGTGGCGAGAGGCGTAAGCTTCCTACCCCCAGGTTTGCCCTTCTCCCCAAATCTCTGCAGGGCCACCAGCCCAGAAGCTGTCCAACGCCCCTCCGTGGGGGGTTTGTGAAAGCTTCATTTCTCAGGCACCACTGATTCAGTCACCGGTAATTGGCCTCAGCCTCCAGGTCTCTCTTCCCCAGAGGTCTGGGCTGGGACTGGACCCAGCACTTGGTTCTGCCAACCAACCCCGGCCCACATATTTCTCAAGCAAGTCACCTCGTTAACCAGTCACCAATACTTTCATCACTTCACTATTTAGGGTTTGTAAAGGTTTTGGGAGCTGCAAGATAAGAAGTATAGATGAAGACCAAATAAATGTGAGGAAAATGTTTATGGAACTGATAACACTTCGGTCATTTGAATAATTTGTTACACACACATGTAAAATAAATCTCTGCACATCTCCATTTATCTTGTAAGTCACAAAATCCCACGTCCCTACCGGATTCCTCCTAAATTTGACCCCCGGCCTCCATCCCAGACGTCCACTGGCCCTTGGAATATGCCACGTGGCCATGATAGAGGCAGTTCAGATTCAGCGTGTGCAGAACACGCCTCGGTATCCCTGCACCCCACTTGGCCTAGACCTCTGGTCTCCTTCTCTTTGCGACATCACGGCCACATCCCTTCCCTTCGCGCTTGCCAGGCGCCCGAGCCAGGCCAGTTCATTGCCAAGTCTGTGTTGCTCTTACGCTCTCATCTCTCCCTCTGTTCCCCGGTCCGGGCCCCCATCAGCCCATGCGTGGATGACCGCAGCGGCCTCTAACTGCTCTCTCTAGGTCCACACTTGCCTCCTACCCCACCCAGAGCCACCCCAAGGCCAAGCCTCACATTCTCCAGCACACACTCCGCTGGGTTTCTGTGCTCGCGGGTGAACTGCAGGCGCCTTGCCTTGGTCTCTCGCGTTAGGCCTCTTGCCCACCTGCCTGTTCTCTTTCTAACTCCCCACCCCCAGCCACTCTCGCCATCCTTTAGATCTCCAGCAGTGCCAGCTGCTTTGCCTTCATGACATTGCCTTTCCCTTACCCGCCTGCCCCACACACACCTTGCTTCGGATTTCAGCTCAAACACCACTTACCAGGGAGCCCTGTCCACACCACTGCATCCAGGCCTTTATTATAAACTCAGGGACATACAGACTTCTCTTGGGGGCTCTTAGCCCAGTCTCTGAGGACGCCCGTCTCCATGATCAGTGTGTGCTCCCCCACAAGAGCAGGTGCTGCCCTGCGCCCACTCACGTCATCCCAGACACAGTCCATCCCGGCGTGTGATTAGCCCCTGACACCTGTCTGCTGGATGCGGAGTGAGCCGGACCGCATGCCTTTGTGATATCCCCCCAAAGGCCAGGTGCCTGCACCTGCAGGTTGTGCCTGGAACAGGGGGGAGCCACCGACTGCCCCTGGAGGCTTCCTCCCCGGATCAGGACGGCGGCGCCTGCCTTGCATGGTGGCTCTCGGGTCTATGTTTAGAAACATCACTTGGTTGGTTGTGCGCTTGGTTTTGTTGGTGGGATTTTTTTTTTCACAATGACAAAAAGATCATCTTGTTCTTTACAAAAATACAGAGATACATCATGATGACTGAGTGGGGAGGGTAGAAGCTAGATAAAGGGGGCCTGTAGCAGTGGCCCCGACGGTAGTAGAGCCAGGAGGAGGATGCTCAGCCAGGCTGCGTGGTGTGGGCAGAGCCTTGGCACGTCAGGGCAGATGTTGTCACCCACGAGGTGGGAGTGGGGAGGATGGCTCAGCGAGCCAACCACCGTCACTGGGTTGTGTCATCTGAGCTGGCTCCTGTCATCTTGTGGCCTTTTCCTACAGGGGAGGTAGAAGAGATCGAGGGCTGTGGCATCTGCCTCATGGGCCTGCTATGTTTTCTGAATGGTTTAAGCCTTTTAGAGCTTCCATTTATGTGCAGGGTAGTGTGTGTGTGTGTGTGTGTGTGTGTGTGTGCGTGCGCGCGTGCGCACACATGAGATGCTCACTCACACATCCGTGTCTATAAAGTTTCATCATGGGCACACAGGTCACACCTCATGGGATGGTCCCGTCCTGAGCGATTTCCAGGCTACACCCACCCAGTGTGGTACACCCCTGTGCATCTGTCTCGGCACAGATGAAGCGATTGCCAGGAAGGTGTGCCCTCCACCCCAGGCCCCCCAGCAAACCTACTTGCTCCCTCAGTAAATTGCACCTGTTTGCCCAAAGGTTCACAGTGGAGAAATCTCTCCAGAAAGGGAGGGAAGACTGGGCTCAGCCCAACCCCTTCCTGGGGGCTCCCCGGTCGCTCTGCCCCCCTCCGTGGCTCTGCCTCTGCCTGGGCATCTGTCTTGATTTCAGTTTCCCAGGACAGTAGGGGAATGGTCCCCCCTGAGGAGCACACTTCCCCAGATGGGCCTTCCCAGTTGGCCAGCCCAACAGCAGAGGGGACTTGGGAGATGAGCCTTACGCCAAAGGGAGTGGGGGACTTCCATCTGTTCCCTGTTTGCCGGACCTTCACTGCTTCCTTTGGGAAATAGCCCTTCCAGACTCCATGTGTGTCTGGGGGGCTGGCAGGCAAATGGGTCTGTCTGGTTTGCTCATGGGGCAAATCAGAACATGCAGCCCATCCAAGGTTTCACTAAACCACTGAAATCCCCAAAGGAAACTCATACCAGAATAGCTTCACCAGCTACCAGCTGGTTCCCAAGCAATCCCCTCCCCCATTCCCTCATGGCCAAGGTTGCCTTTCCCTACCACCCAGAAATTCCAGACAGCAAAGCCCTCCAGAGAAAAGTATACTTTACGTGGGAGAAGAAACCCAGCTCAGACTAGGGTTACAACAAAAGGGTGACAAGTGGCTAAGTGTGGGGAAATCCCAGAGAAGCGCCTGCTTCAGTTACAGCTTGATCCAGCATCTCCAGCGACGCCATCAGGATCCTTCCCCCACCCCCTCTTGTCTTCTCTCCTCTGAGGACAAATCTCTTCTCAGATAAGCCCTTGGCATGTGGCATCAAAGATGGCACCAAATCTCTCTAGGTTTTATGTTGCTTTTACCAAGACTCGCAAAGTCAGAAGAGGGGAGAGCCTCTCTCCCAACACCAATACCAATCCCCTTAGTAGAATTGTGACTGGTTCCCCGGGATCATGTTGCCATTAGTGGGAGACACCTGCTTGACAGACAGCCACACCTGCCTGACAGACAGCCCTCCAGGCCACAGGCTTCGGGGAAGGGCACGTCCCAGAGGAGGCAGCGAATGTCCACCCCAGAGCAAGCCCCTTCTCTCCCTTCAGTCCATCCAAGCCCCCATTTCCTGTGCCAGGAGTATCGGGAAATGTTAACTCAAGTCTAGGGAGTCAGCTCCCTCAACGTCACCGCTGATTCCAGGCCTAGCTGGTCTCCTTCCAGGACCCAGACTTGCCCTGCCTCCTGCCTGGGAAGGAGGCCCTGTCTGGATGTTCCTCACGCTCCACCAGCCCCAGCCGCCTGGGTTCCCAGAACTGGATTTTCTCACACTTTCTCTCCTTTTCCTCAGGGCTTCTATACCTGGTTCTTCAACACCATCTCCATGAAGTAAGTGCCTGAGCTTCCAAGCTTCTCACTGTTGCCTTATGTGGGGGAGTAGAAAGGGAGGGGAATCCAGCTGCAGGACTGGGCCTGACCTGCCTGAGTTCTGAGCCCCCACTGACCACCTCAGTGGCCCAGCTGAGTGCCCTCCTGGGTCACGGGGGTGAAATGACTCCTGGACAGAGCCCAGGCTCTCACCTCTCCGCAGCCCCCAGGAAGCCCTAAAAAAATACTTTTCCGGAAGCCACCTCATAAAAGGACATCCTTCTTGTATTAATATTTGCTTTATTTTTGTGAACATCATTCATATTCGTCAAAATGGGGAGCAAAACAAACACCGGGCAGAAGAGCCGGCTTCCTCTCAGCTAATCAGCCTCAGAGAGAGCCCCTTCCCCAACCCATCTTCTGGGTATCTTCAGTGCCAGACCCCACTTGACAAGGAGACAGACCCCAGGTTACCTGTTTTTCCCTCACACCGCTACCAGCCAGATCCTTTAGCTGAGCAGACCCTCGTCAGAGCTCTGCCCCAGTGTAGGTAAACACCGAGCACACCCACCCACACTGCACATGCCTCCCCCAGCGTCTGTCCACGCCTGCTGATACCTACGTTCAGGGTATAACTGCACTGCTTCCCGGAGGCCAGTTGCACCAGGGGATCTGATTTGCTTTTCTGCAAAGGTTCATAAGCCTTTTGCCCACAAGCCTGTATTCAAGGACATTGCTGGGGGCGTTCATGCACTGTCACAAAGGCCCCACCCCATCCACCCCTGCACACCCCACCGGGCACCTTACTCAGACTGACTGGAGGGCCTGGGACCTGAGGGGCCACAAGGCACCTGCCCTGGCCTCAGGCATCGAGCACCAGGCTGCAGACCAGCCTCTGCTGGTGTCTGAGCGCCAGCCCCTCTGGGGGGGTGTCCCAAGGCCTTGGCCTCCGGTCTGCTTTCCTTGTCATCAGCATCCCAAGAAAGTGGCTTAGCTAGTTGGTATGGGGGTCAGGAGTCGTGTCACATTGGGGGTGGGGGGTGTAAAGCAGAGCCTAATTTCTTGGCGCCTTCTCTGGTTTGCTTTAGTAATTTTTAAGTAAGCACAAGCACAAACAAACACATTTGCATTGAGAAGCGCAGAAGTCCACCTCCAGTCTCTCACGTCCCTCCTGATGACCCCTCCTCAGAGGTAATCTCTGTCAGCAGACTCAGAGAATTTTACTTTCCAACCAGCACTTACTATTCTTGCATTTTAAAAATAACCAATAATGTGTATGGACATTTGGAGCTTGTTATCCAAAAAGCTGTACAGACTCGTTCTAGGTTCCCGGATTTAGCAAATTCATGAATGATGAGGAGGAGGGAGGGTCACGCAGCCATCTGTGCAGTCAGAGGAAAGGATGCTGAGACCGGGGGCTGCCAGAGCGCATCGCATCGTCCAGGTTGGGAGAAAAGGACCCCTTAGGCTACTTAGAGACTGGCTTTCTACTGTCTGCTGACATGTCAGTGCGTACACATGGACAGGAAGAAGGTGTCTGTGCTGGGGATGGGGAATCAGGGTTCATGCAGAACCTCCCAAGGCTTCACGTGGGTCAGTGTCTCTTGCGCGTGTGAGCCTGAAATCCGAGCTGCGGTCACTGCGCTGGCACAAATCTGCAGGGGCAGGTGCCCGTGGGTGCTGCCCATGCAGTGGGGCCTCAGCGTCACAGCTGCGGAGGCTGTTTGTGAATCCTCTCCCCCATCGGTGCGGGCCTTCCCTCGGGATCAGGAAGCCTGGGCCTCCCGCTCCGCCTCCTGCACCCTCCAGAGCTGGGTCCCGAGACCCCTAGTGCCCCTCCTGAGCAGGACCAGGAGGTCAGAGTCCCCGTGCACACAGCCCGCACGGCCTCGTTGGAGAAACAGGACAGGACGCGCACATGCAGCTCATGATGGGGTGGCGTGGGGAACCGGCTCCCGGAGGGCTGCAACTGCCATGGGAAAGGCATCTGGGGAAGTCAGAAATTAATTTCCAACAAGGGAGGTCAAGAGAAGTACTGTTTTGAGTGAGGCTGGAGGAAGGCAAGGACTTTGAGGTTACAAGGAAGAAACCTGAGAAGGAAACAGCTGAGCAGCGGGAGGGGGTGGGGGGTTGGTGCGGGGGGGGGGGGGGAATAATGGCCAGAGTGTCCAGAAGGTGCCTGGTGTGGCTAGAACTTTGTACCTGGAGAGGAGGGGGTGAGGAGTCAGCCCAAGGATCAGCTGGGGTCTTGGCACTCGGCTTTGTTCTCCAGGATCAGTTGGGTCCTGAGGACCCAACTCAGGATAATAATCTATCTGTAGGCAGGAATGGGGTGGGGGTAGGGGAAATGGGGTGGCCAGTTGAGAACGTGCAGAGGCCAGGTGAGCAGCTAAGGAGGCTCATTCCAGTGTCCAGGTGATCGGTCATGCTGACCAGGGACACAACAGGGAGAAGACAAAGGGGAAGGAGATTAGGGGCCACTTTCCGTGGCTCATGTGTCCACCTGCCTCCCCCCTGATTAAGAAGAGGAAGGGATTGTCTAGGAGAAAGAAGAGACTCCTGCCACATAGTTAACCTGGTGTTAAATGAAACAAGCCAGAGAACGACAGACCCTGCGTGACATTTCTTATCTGTGCATCGTAAAAGAGTCTAAAAGCACAGGGGCTAGTGTTGGGGTCCCCGGGTTTAGGGAAATGGGGAGATGGCGGTCAAAGAGTATAAACTTCAGTGATACAGCCTTGGGCAATAAACTACATCATGGTGACTGTGGTGAATGAGGGGATTATATATTTTAAAGTTGCTGAAACAGTAAATCTTAATAGTTCTCACTATAAAAAAAGAATTGGCAAATTATGTGAGGAGACAGATGTTAGCTCACTGGTAGGAACCATTCTGTAATGAGTATGTGAATCAGGTGAGCACGCTGTACACCTCAGACTTACACGGAGTGTGAATCATTGTAAGTTGACCACAGAGCCACCTCCTGAGTTATTTCCATCCAGAAAGCTGCAAAACATATAGAAGTCAAGTGATACCTAACAAGGTGATAACAAAAGCCAGGAAACTTCTTGGGAAAGACAATGTCATTCCGATTAACAAGTACTATTCTTAATCAAAAGTGGCCATTGTAAACATAGATTTTTTAAAAAGATTAATTTATTTATGCATACAGAACTGGGGTACAGGCCAGAGGTGCAGGGGGCCGTGAGAGGATTCACCAGAGACAGAGTAGGGAGCAGAACAGGCAGATCCATGAAGTACACTGCTGAGGGGAGCAGCAGGCGGGTCAGCAGAGGTCT